GTCTTTAAAAAGATATATATATATATATATATATATATATATATATATATATATAGTACGTCACAACTTTTCAACACCGTAATTAATTGCATCAAAACAAGCAAAAGTGATCATAAGTAAACAAACGGACATATAGATGACGCTGCAAGGGAGAAAAAAAAGGAGATCAAATTTTCCAAAAGAAAATTTCTAAACCGACCCAATATCCCAACCTAAATAAATAATATTATTAGAGAGAGATGCATATCTAAAAAAAAATTTTCCGAGTAATATTTCATTAACATATCCTAGACAAGCATCTCAAAGAGTTTAGTAAAATTCACATATTATATATATATATATATGTAATATTAGTGGGAGAAAATATTTTGTCACTAGTTAATGGGTAACAAAGCATATATATGTGTCTATCAAATTGTATCGATAAACCCAAATTTGGGTAGTGTAATGGTAAAAGAACATCTAAACGTATTTTTATCTCTGATTCAAATTCAAGTGTAGATAGAGATATTTATCCGGATTTTTCCGATCTTTTGATATAGTTGGATCAAAAGATTGTTGAATTTTTGAATTATCAAAAATATATTTTTTATCAATAACAAAAAAAAAACAAAGGCATGCATTCAACCGAGCCTATGTTACACACGTACGATGTATCCGACCCGGCCCGTCGGTGAAAACTATTACATAATGAAGTCCTTATTCCATTTCATTGATTAGATCTGTATGGACTAACGTGGGGTTATTATAAAAAAAAAAAGGGGGAAAAAAAAGAAAGCTATTAAATTGTGCTTACATCATGGGGTATCCCAATGAGTGGGCTACCATGTGATGATTCTATCACAAAAAAAGAAATAAAAATAAAATTTATATTTCTAAAAAAAATAACAAATACCCAAAACTATTTTATGTGATCCAACTATTTCTTGAAATATGCGATTGGTAAAATTTTACAAAAGGGCAAAAAGGGTTTTAGGGTTATATATTCATTTATTGAGCAAATGGGCTCTCTAGGGTAACATCACCTAACCCATACAAAATAATAACAGCTTTTAGGGTTTTTTTTTTCTTACTAGGCCCATCGTCTTCCCCCACCGGCTCTCATTGCGCGTGTAACTCACGGTCCAATGAAAATGCCTTTACGTGCAGAGGAGCCTCTGGAAAGTGCAATACAGACGAAAGTTGTACACCACGCTCAGAGCTGCGTGTGGAGTTCACGCGCTTAGGGTTTCCTTTTAGGACAGCCATGCACAGTGGATTGTGATAAGAACTGCACTTGGTGCCACGTGGAGAAATATGATTGGTTTCTTGTACTCGTCCCATCACCCAACGTATGTCCAAGAAGTTTAATTACGAATTATGTTTTCTTTCTTCCATGAAATATAAAACGTAAAAAAAGTAAAAAGAATAATTACGTAAATATCAAACATTTTCAATTTTTTGTTTATATGAACTGAAATTAAATAGCTTTATTATTAGGTTTCAGAAAATTCTCTCTATTTTATCTTTTCATGTATTTATTTTCATTTATGTAAAATAATAGGATATATATAAATACGTGTTCGATATTTGTGTTTATGGAAATAGGCAGACCAGATTGTGACATGGCATTGTCATGTTCCACAGACTCGGTTTTATTTTAAAAAACTATTTTTATTTAATTTATTTAGTATATATTCTTTTATTACAACAAACCCTCATTTCAAGGGATAAAAAGATAAAAAGCTAAAACCTCTCTTTCTCTCTCTTCTTCACAGTCCCCGTCTCTCTCTACAACAATCACCAGCACTAGGAAAACCCCTCTTCTCTCTCCTCGCGGGACGCTAGGGTTTCTCCAAACCCCGCACTCAAATTGTACCCATTGGACGACGAATCGATTCTCCAAGCTGCTTTTTTCTTCTTCTCCTGGAGCTCCTCTATCAGCTGATACAAATTTCTTCGCTCGCCGTGAAGGATCAAATTTGGGTTCGTGAAGGATCGAATTTTCGCTCGGATTCGGGCCGGATTATCCAGGTGAGTTTTTCGGACCATAATCTTCTGTTTCGTTCCTCGTTTCTGGGGATTGAGCTTTGGTGTCGGCTGATCTGGTCGGGGGCTTTCGCTGACTAATAGCTGACTTAGGGTCTCGATGGGTATTTCGCTGAGTTCACTGTTCATTGAACGTCACTTCGAATCCTCGATTCGCATTTCCTCGCGGGTCTTCGTGTGTACGGACCAATCTACGCGTATATAACCAACGGTTTATGTCTTTGTTATTGTGCTCTCTTGTTTTATTACATGCGCTTAATTAAATGACTGTAGCCCGTTTAACTGTTTGTTAATTGAGTGCCTAATTTTGATTATAAACCCTAATAACTCAGCCCGTAAGTCCTTGTTTCTCGGATTCGTGATGTGGGTTTTTGGCTTTCCGAGTATATCGAAATGATTTCGTGTTTTTTTGGCGGTGACATTGAAGAAGATCGCAGCTTTGGGGGTCTCGTGTGTCTGGAAACCCTAATTTCTGCTCGGTCGTAATCGGTCTAGTTTAAGGGTTTATCTCGGATGTTTAGCGGGTGAAGGTCACCCTTACATTTAATTTTGATATGGAATGTGCATGAAATGGATGATAGTGAAGCTTTTTGTTCTTGATTTTATGTAGACCTAGGGTTTCTGATTTTTTTCGGGGGGACATGGAATTGTGGATTTGATATGGATTGTGGCTGTTATCGTATGTGGACCATCATGGAATATGCTTGATGATTATGGTTGTAGAGTTGCATGTAGTTCTTATATGTAAGTGTGGTTTCTTGGATGTAGAGATTCTGAAATGTAATGTCCAAGATGTGGTTTATGTATGTAACATTAGTGTGAATAGCATAAAATGATGCAGCATCGATGTAGAGCTGTTGTAATGTTTTCTGTGTAACATTTTTTAGGTCAAAGTTTCTGGGAGATTACAATGGTTGGAGTAGAGGAGAACCGTTATTGAGGATTAATCAACTTCGAGCTGTTACCAATGGATTCCTCTATTAAGATCAACTCAATATCCGTAGATCTTGCAGGCACCACCAATGAGGTTGACACGGGGAAATGCGAGCATTTCTCCATACGGTAAGATTAGTTTATTTCTCGTTTCTCGTTATTGTTTGATCGATCCTTTAATGTGCACATGCATGCATGTTGTATTTTGTCCGGAAATTCGTTTGCTGAATATATATGTATATGGTGATGTTTATGCCATATGACTCATCATGAATAGAGTGTTTTTCGTTGTTTTTGGGTGCTAAAGTGGGTTCGTAGCTGAGATCCGTCAGAGAGACCTTGGAAAATGTTGGCCATTTTCAGTGGATGGTGCTGATTTGGAGGACAATAGCTATCCTCTCCCTTCTTTATCTGTTCCAAGATCTAGGTGGTGGCGTTGTACTAATTGCCTCAAAGATATCGATGCCGAAGGGATGAATGGCAGTGGTAAAAATGCAGTATACCGTTTCATGTTCTATACTAGCAGTCTACCCGAAACATGATTCTTTTGTTTTCTTTGCGACTAAGATGAGATTCTGCTATCAGGTTGTCAGCTTTATTCAAATTCAAGAGCTCTTAGGGAGAAAAAGGTCGTCGATGCTAATTTGCCGATTATCCTTAGTAAAGGCGATTGGAATTCTCTGACCAGCGCCAACAAGAAAGAAAGGAAAGCTGATACTGCAGGTGTGAATCCACTGGTTAATTTTTGTCCCTTGTGCATGGTACTCAATATATTGGGTCTTGGTTCAGTATGTAATGTGCTTTTTCAGGTAAAATCACTGATGGGAATGCGAAAGTAAATCATGATGAAAGATGTCGAACGGAAAATCGGACAGGTAGATTTGGCATTGTAGTTTTCTTTTGAAGCGGAAAGAAATTTCCCAGCAGCTATGGTACTTACGATGCTGTTGATATCTGCAGCTACATTGCTCAAGAAAGCACGACGTAGATCTGCGGATGCTGCTACTGTTGGGAGGAAGAGCAGAAAGCTTGCCAATCCAGAGCAGGCCATTAAGAAATCTAAAGAAAAGGTTAACGCTTCGGTGGATATTAATCGGAAAGAGAACACTGAGGATACGAATGGTCAATTTGGGGAGGCTCTGACAACCTTTGGCTCATCTGAGATAGCTGGTGTGGTTGAGGATACGCCCAAGGCAATCAAGAATCATAAAGGCAGCCGTGTTTTGATGGAAGATGAATGTGATAATGTGTCATCAGAAAGTGCAATCATGGTGAAGAATCTTCTCGATCAGAACCCTGATTATATGAGTGGTTTGCAGCGTAGGAAAGCTCGAAAGGTTCGTCTGCTCAGCGAGTTATTGGGTAAATCCAGCACAAAGAATGGTAATGATGTTGGAAATGAAGAGTCTCCATCCAAGAAGGAATCAGTCAGAGGTAGAAAAAGAAAATCATCTGGAGATGAAGAATGGCGACCTCCTGAGATGGCGACACCTGAAAATAATTACGCCAACAGGAAATTAAGTACAATTGGCAAAAATTCTGAAAACTCCTCCCAGAGTTGTGACTCTGAAGGCAATGTGCTGTCTGCCTTAGGCTCACAACCAAGTGTGGAGAGTCAATCTACTGACAGCGGATTTGACAAAGATCCTATTAAGGGTAAGCAGAAAAACAGAAGGTTTCAGGTGGTTGACGAGCATTTGCCTGCAGTTTCTCGGGAAAATTCGCAGAAGAGTTTCCAGGAAAACGGTGAAAGCTCACCTAATTGCAACACTGGCAAGAATAATTTCCCCACTCCTGTTCGTTCTTCATTTACAGGTAAAGAGTCGGTTCCTTGCCCTCTGCGTACTCAGAGAACAGAGAGAAAGCCTAGTTTAGTCAAGAAGAAGAGCAAGAAGTCCACAATTGACAACAATCGGAGTACCATGATCGGTTTTGGTGACAGCATGACTGGAGCAAATCAAATAGAAACAAGAAAACCAGAAGTGTTGCATATTAGAGACATAAACGCAGTTTCCCAGACTACTCGAGATGTGTCAAATGGGAAAGGGCCTGACCTTTCACTGGACAAAACTTTGGTTTCAGATGGATATGTTAGAAAATATATTCCGCAGCTTGATCAAAGGCCGGTCTTTTCATTGCCTTTGCAAAACATACATCACCGAGACGATCATGTGAGACAGAAAGAAGCAGAGACAAACCATTTTCGAGATTTCCCTTCCCCTTCTAAATCCAATACGGATGGATGTGGTGGAACTCAGGTTTATATTGATCTCAGCTGCAATAGCAATTCCAATAGAGTGCCTTTCCTGCATGAGAATCTAAGGCAAACCCCTTCTACAGAAGTTGATCACCCTCTTGCGCCGCAAAAGGTACAAGCGTTACATATATCATTTAAATATCAATTCAATAGTCTATAAACTTGAAAATGAGCAATGAAGCGTATACGTCATTGTCATGTATCTCTGTCTTACATAGCCTATGCAGTTGTTTCAAGAAATGGCTGTACAAGTTCTTGTCTAGTTCAGTTAAGCTTTGTTTTACAGATGAAACAGGTCGCTACCTTGTCTAGTTATGTCTGTTTCGAAGTAATGCTATCACATATTGGATCATGATAATAATGGGATCCCGTTGCTTTTCAGGATACTTCTGGTGCATACGATAAAGGGAAGGGAGTTCTTATCCAAAGCGATAATAGAAAGGAGAAGACACCGGACCATATAGATGATATTCCAATGGAAATAGTTGAGCTCATGGCCAAAAACCAATACGAAAGGTGTCTGCCTGACAAAGAAGAAGACACCATGAAGAATAACAAACAGCCATTGCAAACAAAGGCCGGCAAAAAGAATGGATTGCTGATTGATCTCAATCAAACCTATGAAAATGTTGTTTCACTGGAAGACAACACATTGAGGAAACCAAAACCTCGCAGTAAGAATGCGAGCAAGGAAGACGCGACTAAAGGAGAACATTTTTCCTCTGTGAAGCCAAACTCTGTGGATTTTTTCCCGATAAGTCAGTTTGGTCACCCTTATGTGCCTTCTGGGTTGGGGATATTTCCTCTTACCCGAGAGAAACCATTGAACTCCATCCAGTTTTCTGGTTCAGGATCTAGTGGGCAGAGCATTAATAGTTGTCAGTGGCTGGGGAATCTGCCAACTGTGGCTAGTCAGAGCCCATCCCCTTCCCCGTTTCGGGTATTTCGTCCATGTAACACATGCCAGAGTGTTCCACATCCGTATAGAGAAGCTTCCCATCCTATGTGGCCGTCTTCTATGGTACCACAGAATCAAACGCCTGTTTCTTTCAACATGACTCGGAAGTTTGTGGATCAGCCAACCAGGCGGGATATGCTTTCACGGGGTTCCAACAGCGATATGAATTCGTGGAACCTTAACTTTCTTGATAATGGAAAGCAAAAACGTGGGCCTGATTCGGAATTCTCATTCCGTTGCAAACATAGTGGGAACGATAGCAGATCCTTAGACCCTTATGCTAATGAGAGCAGTATACCGGCAATGCACCTACTCAGCCTTATGGATCCACGGCTGAGGTCAAACACTCTCGTTGACCTCCCCGGAAACCCTGAACTCCCGAAAAGACCTTTTCCGCAAGGTCACCAATCAAAGGAATTTATGGGCCTCCAACCAGGGGACTGTAGTAAGAGACCCAGCTCAACAAAAAAGCTGTCCTTTGATTTTTACAGCAAGAGACCGGCAGGTGAGACCCTCCGAGAAAATTTTCCCGTCATTTCAGCAGTTGGCACGTCTTCATTATCGTTTCAAAGTGATAAGAGTGTCGCCAGAGGTGCTGATTTTACGGTCCAAGGTCCATGGTATACAAAAGATGTCGTTTCACCTATTCACAGCAGTCATCAAAAGTCCTTCTTTACAAGCAGCTGTGACCCGGGAAAATTCCAGCTTCTTGGGGCATCGGATTCTATGATGCTCCCTCTGAAATTTCACACAACAGACTATGCCAAGAAAACCAAGGCAAAAACACAGAGCTGCAATGCCTCTGCATTGCCACCAAAGAGCAATTCTGGTCCTATTATGTGCAGTATGAATAGAAACCCAGCTGATTTCACCATTCCTGAACCTGGAAACATTTACATGATAAAGGGTGAAGACCTGAAGTTCAGAAAACGTGGAAGCTCGAAGAAGAAACCGAGCTTGTCTAAACAGGATGATGCATTGAAGCAAAACAGGACGCCTGTTCGTCCAGCCACTGAAAATGCGTGATATATATACAAGTTAGGAGTATGCAGGTAATACAAGAAAAAGGTCCCATTTTTCTTCCTATGGTTTCTTCCTCAAATACATTACCCTAAAGACACTGGATTTCACTAAAATTTCAGCAACTGAAACAGAACAGTTCATTTCTCTTTCAAATTCACTGCTGGAACAGATAGTTGTCAAAAGTCCACTTGTGTTCTTCTTGCTGACTTCCACTCCTAACAAAAAAGTTTTTAAGACCTGACCCATGTTCAACTTTAGCCGGAGGCGGAGGCACTTACCTTTTCGACCACTTCCCTGTCGATTTGATCCTTCCCCATATCGATCCTTGCTTCTGATACCACTCGGGTGGCAAATGAATCACATTAACTTTTAAATTTTACTAATTGTTATAACATATGATAGCTCCTGTACCCAAACTCTTTCGAAAAAAAAAGGGGGAAAAACACAAAATCAAAAATAAAAGTCCCACGAAGGCTTAGCGTCGACATGAATCTGCTCTTTCCTTTTTTAATTTTTTATTTATACTTTTTTTTTTCGTTCTGAAAATGGAGATACGTGAGCAACCCCATATTCTAAAAGCCTCTCCTAAACGTACCTTCGAATAGAGGCCTTAGACTGTCGACTCTTCCCTCCCACATGTCATTGTCTATTGCCCATCTAAATCCCTACAACACAATTTCATCATAATTGGAAAATCGATCCCTGGTTTGTTTTTGTCCAAATTCAGTATGGAACAGATACAGGTGAAATTAGAAGACTAGCACAGATGATGAAGAGGGGTTTCCGCCAGCCGATGATAACGGACGGGGGGAGGGGCTTTCAGATAAGAGGGAAGCACCTAATGCCCCTCCCTCGCTCGGCCCTTGTCGGGTGGAAAACATTAAAAACAAAAAATCCGTTTAGACAATAACAGTAAGAGCTTTCCTCTGTTCGTGTCCTTGACTGTGGTTTCTTGTTATTTACAGTTTAGATGTCTGTACTGTTGTTGTTGTTTTGTTTTGTTTTGTTTTGAGTCCACATGATGTATCATGAGGAATTGTAATCCAAACCTTTTTCCCACAGGTTTTGATAAAACACTAATAATAATAATAATAATAATAATACAACTTTTGTATTGGTCATTCTACAAAACTGGGCAACTTGCTGAATTAAACTTACCAACTTTTTGTCGGATAATTTCGGAAACCTAATGGTGTTTTGTATTTCGGGCTTTTGCAGTTCAACTTAAATAAAGCCCAGATTCAGCCCAAATCTTAGGACAAATTGTTAGGGTTCTTCTGAATTAATTTTCTTTAAAAAAACAAAAAATATAAATAATATATAATTTTCTTTCAGCGCATCTTGAATTCTATTGTTTAGTATATGATTAAATGTAATTCAAGTGAACTAAATTTGGTTGAAGAGATCCAAATCTCTAAATATATACTTGGAATCGCTTTTCCAGCAATAGATAACTAAATTTATATATATATATATATATATATATATTAATAATAATCAAATATTTAAATTATTTAAGTTATCATTCTTCTAGTCCTATTGTTGCTTACCCTTTTATAATACGCCACAAAAATTTCAAATCTCCACTCTCACATTTTCCCATGTTATAACAAACGTCAAAAACAAAATTTAAGTAACGTAAAAGGCATCCCCATGGCCATGCATTAGCCAACCGGCAAATCAATAAACAGACTCTGATACCCCAACAGTCGCTTTGAAGCAACGGACAAACTCCAATTTAAAGCATGAGATTATATTATAATCACAAATATTCCCAACGGTCCATATATTATTATTTAATAATCCAAATTTCGAACATAAAATAAGATCACTCCATTGAAGCATCACCAGGAGAGTATCTGCAAACCCTAGCTTGCGTATAAACGAGACCTTGCCTGCAGAAATACCCTTTGGAAGGGCTACAGTGTCTGTCTTCAGAGCAAACACAGCTCCCTTCTAGGGCACAACTGTCTTCCCTCGAACCCTCTGCCCCAGACAGAATCTCATCAGACCATTCACTTGAAAACACCTTCCTAGGATCCAACCTGTTCCTCACTCCCATGAACTTGTCGTATCCATTCTTGTACTTTTCCTTCACGCCCGCAAACGCTAATCTCCTGTTCTTCCCCCAGTGCGGCTTTGCTCCGTACTTGAAGAACGCCATCTGCTCGATTTCCTCCATCACGTCCTCGTTCAGTCTCGGCTCAGACGCCTCGTCTGATCTGTAATAGTTGAAGTCCACGACCACTGAGTCCTCGCCTTGGCCGAGATAGGCGTCTGAACGTTTGATGTAACGTATTAGAATGCCGTTGTAGATGTCCATACCGCAGAGGTTTTCGGGTTTTAGGTCTCGAAGTTTCTTCACATCTATGATGAAGTCTCTGGATCTAGAGGCCGGGAATATGGCCGTTGTCTCGTAGAAGAAAAGCCCTTTGTACCTCGGGTCCCACGCGCAGGCTACGTCGATTCTCGAGGGAGACGAGTAGAGGCACGATCCCGAGGTTTGCATCTTGCCCTGCTTGCCGATAACTGGATAACCGGTAAAGATGACGCCGTTGTTCTTCAAGCCGTTTCCGAGTAGTTTCTTGGAGGCTATGACCGTATCTGCCATCACGCATTTCCCTTTCACGCTTTTGGTAGATTCAAGCAACTTCTCTGCAACATTTTCATAGCAAAATTAGATCGATATTCGGGGAAAAAAACATATCAAACTATCGATTCAAGGCTTGAAATGTACACAGTTCATAATTTTTTTTAGTATATTACAGATTATAGGGATGAACCGATCGAGGTCTATGAGTTTGTATTATTAGATTTTCAATAAACATAAAAAGTTTATGATCAAAGTTTCATAAAGCATTCAACTTTTTGTTTGATTCATGTTGGTTGAAGCAGAAAACTCCCAAGATCTGTGGAATATGGACAAAGAAAAGAAAAGAAATGGCAAAAACCGAATAAATCCAAACCGAACCAAACCAAAATAGGAAATGTATAGATACTAACCTGCAGCTCGGATGCCCTTAGTGACCAAGATGGAGTTGGACTGAAAACCGATGAAGTCGTTGACTCCGTCGCCCGACACGTTGACCGGAACACGGAAATCGTATCGGTAAACGGCGGTTTTTTTGGAGGGATACCAAGTTATGTCTCCGAACTCAAACTTCTTCCCATGTTCCAGGAACATGTCTTCCATACCAACATCGGACGTGAAGTTGTACGTAACGCTTCTCTTGAATGCTTTTTCTATCGAAAGCTTCACCTGAAATATATATATATATATA